ATTCTCTGCAGACCTGGCTTCCCGTATGCGCTTCCACAGTGCCGTCCATTGCTCCCCAACCCGGCCACACCTAAGATTCCTCGTGACCTGAAATCTCGACCTCCTGTGACATCCAGTCATGATGGGAACACGGCCCTGTGCAGTGTGACTTTGGCTTTCGGGCCCGGGGCTGGTTTTCACGTTGTCTCTGCCACAGAAGGCCCGGTCTCGCCGGAGCAGCCTGCTGCCCTCCCGTGCAGGTTGAGACTCCGCACAGCACGCCCAGCCCGGCTGGCAGAACTCGCGCTGGAACCGGAGGTAGCTCGTACCGCCCGTACCCAACCTCACACGCTTTCTTCTCCGGGCCTCTCTCAAAAACGGGATGGCTTTTCAAGTCGTCAGATAAAGAGATCAGAGACACAAATCCAAGGACACCCACCAAGTGCTCTCCTTTCTTTGGGTTCTGAGGCCCCACGCTTGCCTTTCCACCGGGGAGGAGATCCCAGCCTGGCCGCCGGAACCTTCCGCAGAGTAGCAGATCTGTGCACCTGTGTGGTTGTATCAGTTCGGGTCTGATCAGAGACAGAACGCTCACAGTGTGTACCTCAGAGGGGCCGGGGAAGGAGCTGCAGACGGGCCCGGAGCTGGACACACCCGTGTGCGAGAGGCAGCCAAGCAGTAGCAGGACCCAGCCAGCCCTTTTCTATGCAGTGACTCCCCGCGCCCTCTGTGGGCCACGGCTGACCCTGGGCTGTCAGCCCGTCTGGGGGCTGCTGGTGGATGGGGAGAGATGGGCAGAAGAGGAGAAGCGGCCCAGGCCCTCAATGGCTGGCCTGTGACGTACACTTCTTTATTCTCTTTGCATCATTTCCTCCGTGCAGTGAACCAACCCGGGGAGCCCCGCGACCCAGTGGAGCCGGGAACCTTTGTTCTGCGGGGCCGTCCAGTTGTCTGTAGGGAGCAACTGAGAGTCGCGCGTACCGACCCCACGTTACGCATACAGGTCTGTCTCGCTGGTGGGTGACGGAGACCCTTGGATTTCAGAAACGACGTGATTCTACTAGGCGTGACTGAGACGTTCTCATTTACGCTGAAACGGACTTCAAAAATGTCCTTTAAAAATAAATCCATGCGACTAAAGGAGACACACGCGCGTGTGTAACTCCACAGTGAACCCCTTTGTCCAACTGACATACGGGAAGACTTCGTCGTCGTTTTTGTTTTAATGATGGCAGGCCATTCGAAGAGGCTCTGTCCCGGGGAGGGACAGGCCCTCCAGGTGCAAATGAATGAGGGCGAATGTCATCTCAGACCCGTACAAACACATGACTACAGAACGACGAAACCTGTTAGAAGTGGGGTGTGTGGGGAGAGGGGTGGGCTTGAACTTGGGGCCTGCGTGCCGCCCTTGAGCTTCTGTTGCTCAAGGCGAGCGCTCTACCCCTTGAACCACAGCGCCATTTCTGGCTTTTGAGGTGGTTCATCGGAGATAAGAGTCTCAGGACTTTTTTTTTTCCTGTTTGAACCGCGATCCTCGGATCTCAGCCTCCTGACTAGCTAGGGTGACAGGTGTGAGCCAGGGCCGCCAGGCCTCACCCCAGGAAGGGAGATGGAGAGAATGGCCGGAATGCTGGCTTCCTGGCTTCCTCGCCCAGGCCCCTTTGGGAGCTGCTCAATCCAAACGCCGTCCACAGATTCCCGGGCCAGGAGCTCCTCCCTCTCCCGGGGCTCCTTGGTTTCTGGCCCGGCCTTCCTCTTCTTCCTGCCGCTGGCTCTTCCAACTGGCTCTCCAGGCATTTTTAGTTTGGCAACCCATGCTTCTGAAAACCACTCGGACCACTTCATCCGGCTTGTCCTCTGCCTCTTCTCCCTCCATGCGTCCTACTGATTGGCACAGGAGACTTTGGCATCTCTCCATCAACCCAACCCCGTTACACACACACACACACACACACACACACCCTGCACAAACCCCTGTGTGGCCCAGTGTGTCCCCTTTCCAGAGCAGATAACCACGCACAAGACTCTTGGCACTGAGTGTCCAGGGCCTTCTAAGGACCGAACGAACCCCAGAGGAAATTTATACTTGCAGAAGTATGTAAGCTATGTTCATGGAAATTCCTGGAGGGAATAAAGCCCGGGATTGAGCAAGACTAAAATGGGGGGGGCGGGAATCCTATCTCACGGGGAGAGGAGTGTATTTGACAAACTTTCCCAGCAACTACCCAGTTTTCCAGGTGATGCTCATTTTCAGAGGGGGGCTTTTCTGAAGGAGGCTTTCCATGCGATCGCTACATCACCAGACTCATTTTTCTCAGTGATGTGAGTAGCTCTCAAAAGGCCTGGACCAGGACTGGAAAACACAAGCTGTCGGTCGTTAATTGCAAGATTGTCATTGGAAACATGCTTTTTTTCTCATTGGCTGCGCTGCAGTGATTGTTACAAGCTATCCTTCCTCTCTGGAATCTTCTTTCAGTTGCTGTGGGAAAGAGATTATCAGCCTGGGTTCCCATTCTGTGTTCCTGTATTTCTGTTTATTTGACTCTCACTTACACTTTGAATCCCAAGGACCGGGTGAGGCTGTCTGTTATTGGGACCCTGTGATGGCTACGTGCACCCACAAACAGAACTGCTCCAGCCCTGCTCACCTACCCGGCTTTCCGCTCCTTCCCTGCTCTCCTGGCTTCTATCCGAGGACCCTCAGCCCCCTGTGAAAGCCCGCATCATCTCGAGTTCTGCCACGCTGTAAAGGAATGATTTTGAATCTTGTGCTTCAAAGCATACTGCGCAAGCCAGGTGCCGGTGGCTCACGCCTGTCATCCTAGCGACTCAGGAGGCTGAGATCTGAGGATCACGGTTCAAAGCCAGCCCGGGCAGGAGAGTCCATGAGACTCTAATTGCCAGTGAACTACCAGAAAACTGGAAGTGGCGCTGTGGCTCAAGTGGTAGAGCGCTCGCCTGGAGCTGAAGAGCTGAGGGACAGCGCCCAGGCTCAGAGTTCAAGCCCCACGACCAACCGAAAAAGAAAAGAAATGGCTAGACTACTGAGAGTTTGAGGGGGAGGGGGGAGCCATTGTCCCCAGAGTTCTGGTGAAGGGGAAGGGAAAGGGGAGAGAATTGCAGATTCACAGGACATTTTCTGGACATAGAACACCATCGTGCTGGATAGTAACCATCTCTGTGCTTTGTGGGGTGGAGTGTGGGCTGCTGTAACGTTGTGCTCACCGGAGACATACAGTCACTCGATTTACATTCTTCCCAAGCTTATGTTTAGGAAGACGCCACACAAATACAGAGAAGATGTGGAGGGAGGGATTCGTGTGGCCTGGACCTTACATCTTGTAAGGACCTTGGGTGGAGGGACTCTCTCTAAGTCGCTGTACTTGGGATGATGGTGTCTACCATCTGCCCTGTTCCCTGCCTGTGAATCCCGCTGTCCCCCGTCATCCCCCTGTCCCGGGGATGTAGCCGGGAGTTCTTCTGATTGAGATGGCGCGCGTACGTTTAGGTCTGGGTCATTGTAACTTTCGCATAAGCGTCCAGACTGGGCCTTGAACTCAGGGCCTCACATTCTTACTTGGCATTTTCACTCAGGGCTGGTGCTTTTCCACTTGAGCCACAGCTCTGCTTCTGACTCTTCACCAGATAGATGGAGACCAGAGCCTCTTGAACTGGTCTGCCTGGGCTGGCTTTGAACCTCAATCCTCAGATCTCAGCTAGGATGACGGGCGTGAGCTGTGTGCTGTTTACCCAGATCACCAGCTCCCTCGGGCAGCATGGTGTGATGAAGAGTGGACCAGCTCACCCGTGTGGAAAACATACACAGCCAGCTGTGCTTATAAATCAGTGTAAATACTTAACCCCTAGCACTGGACACTCCAAACACTGACACTATTCCACACGGTATTGAAGCATGTGTGTGTGGATGTGCGTGGATCACCTGTGAGCATGGATGGTCACGCCCGCATCCATCCATCCATACACACACACACACACACACACACACACACACACACACACACACACCGCCATCATTTCCTGCAAGCCATAGACCAATTTCTCACAGGCCCTTGAGACCTCAGAGAAATCAAAAGAAAATAGGCGTGCGTCCGAGTGGTAGAAATTTGGAAACGTATTGATCAGATCGCTTTTTTTCCCCTCCAGGAAACCATCTGTGCGATCTCTAAAGAAAAACACACTGCCCAAAGCTCAGGTCACCTGACCTGCCGTTCTTATTAGAGTGGCCTTTTCTGTTCACACTCAATGAGGTGACCCCCCACCCCCGACTTCCCAAGGTCATTTGGACGTCAGAAGCCCCAGATCCTTTATCAGAACACCCCAAGGGCCTCTTGGCCCGCCCTCTCCTCCATCTCTGAGTTCAGCTAGCCCTGGCTGGAATGGACCATCACCAAGGCCTATAACCCTCTGTGGATTCTGTATTGGGGCCAGTCTGCCAGTGCGCATGGATCTCTGGAGGGCCTTGTTCAGTTGGAATAAGCTCTGAAGTGTTACCCCGGTGTGTCCTCTTCCTCTCCACCAATCGGAGCCCGCCGGAGACTCCGCAGCCTAGGGCTGGGCGGGGCTCCGGGTCGCTTCAGGCTCCACGCTTCCAAAAGGAGGCATCAACAGCTTCCAAAAGGAGGCGTCAACAACTCCTTTTAAAGAATTCTCGTTAGTTGTGCAAAAGGGGTTTCCAGGCAACAGGCCAGTTTGAGTACCACGCAGCGGGGGCTCACAGTCTCTTGGCTTGCTCGCTCATTGTTGGGTGTTCTACTACTTGAACCATGCCTCCGGGCTGGTATTTTGCTGGTTCACTGGGGATGGATTCCCACAGACTTGGATGCCCGGGCTGGCTTTGAATCTTGATCTTCCTCGTCTCTGCCTCTTGAGTTGCTAGGATCCCAAGCTCAGCTCATTTTGGTTTTTGAGTCTCTGACGATCCACCTCGATTCTCTGAACCATCAAGTGTCCCGCCTGTCCTGGGCAGCCTTGTACCGCTAGCTTTGTGCGAAGCTCTCCAGATGGTACGGCCCGCACATGGGATTCCCCGCATCGCCAAGTCCCCGACGGGGTCAGATGGACACAGAAACGGAGAGAGGTTACAAACCACCTTTGGTAGGAAGGGGAGTCACCGGAATGAGACAACCCGAGCGCCGGACACCAGCCGCGCCTTCGCTTTTCCACACGCAAGTGATCTGGGGATTCACATCCACATCGTTCTTCCTCTGTAACTTGTTTCCAACTCTGCATCACAGCTGGCCCCGCAGTGTTTTCTAGAACCCACAGAAGGGATGAAAACCCCTCGGGCGTACAGCTTGAGAAAGCTCCCCCTCACTCCTGGGCTGGGGCGTGCCTTGAGGGGACCCCCACCCTCCCCGTGGGCGCGGGGTTTTCCCCCCCGATCTGTTCCCAGGGGCTGGTGGCTGAAGGGAGCTGTGGGGTCCCGGAGGAGGAGCAGAGAGAAGGCGCTGCTCTCCGGCTGGTTCTAGAACATCCGAAACCACGTGAAAGATGCTTGTGGGGTGTGTTGCCGACTCTCCTCCAGCTACAAGGGGTGTGGGTGTGTGCATGCATATCCACCAATACTGAGATTTGAACTCAGTGTTCCCTTAGCTTTTTTTCCCCCTTTCCTTTTTGTGCCAGTCCCAGGGCTTGAACTCAGGGCCTGGGCGCAGTCCCTAAGCATTCGTGCCCAAGGCTAGTGAGTGCTCTAACCCCTTGAGCCACACCTCTACTTCAAGTGTTTTGCTGGTGCAGGGGAGATTCATCTCACAGACTTGCCTGCCCGGGGCTGGCTTTGAACCGTGATCTTCGGAATCTCCGTCTCCTGAGGAGCTAGGATTTCGGATGTGAACCACCGGATCCCTGCCAAGTGAGCTGCTCCCAAGGCCCGGGGACGAGGAGCCGGCCCGTATTTCCCGTGGCGTGGAGCATTAGGAACAGTGGTGCAAGAGAAATCCCAGTGAGCCTTGGAAGTGCCAACAACCTGAGCTCTCGCTTCGGCCCCTGGGGTTCTGGAAACCCGTTCTCCCGCGAAAGTGTTAGTGTGTGCGTGTGTTCACAAGCGTAACACAAACCGTATATAAGAACCACCACCGTCGACCCTAACAAAATAGGCATAAGGGGATTTTTGCAAAAACAAACAAACAGCACTGCGGGAAATGGAGGAGTTGCATAGACCGGCCCGTAGCTTTCTGTGGGTGAGCATGACCTCTGGTGTTAATCGAGGGAAATTCCAGACTTCGCTTTCATGGAAGAGAGTGGCAAATGGCATTCTCAAGCATCCGTCCCTGGAGGAGGTGGCTAGCGCCCGTCCGTGGCCTCTCTTCACGCCCCAGCTCTCTGCCTGAATCCTCACTCTCTGGAAGCCGGGAATCTGCCAGGAGCTCGAGGCCCAGTCCTCCAGCTAGAGGGCTGACCTTCATATAACCTTGAGGGTTTTCTTTCCTCTGCGGCTTATTTGTGTCTGTCCATGACCCCCGTACAGCATAAAGGACTCACAACATTATGGCACACGTGTGTTTTTAGAGTGAGCATCTAGGGGCCGGGAAGGTGGCTCAGTGGTAGAGCGCTTGCCTTGCATGCATGAGGCCCTGGGTTCGATTCCTTAGGACCACAGACGCAGAAAAAGCCGGAAGTGACGCCGTGGCTCAAGTGGTAGAGCACTTGCCTTGAGCTGAAGAGCTGAGGGACAGCGCCCAGGCCCAGAGTTCAAGCCCCGCGACCGACAAAAAATAAATAAATTAAAATAAGTAAGCATCTAAAACCATCTGTTGATCTTTACCTTTATGAATGGGTTGGACCTCGTCTTGTTTTGGCTGTACTGGGGTTTTTGAACTTAGGACCTTGTGCTAGGAACCTCTCCCCCCACCCCCCGGAAAAATAAGAGCCTCTTGAAGGGACTTCTGTTGGTGGACAAATAGTATGAAACACCCCAAATACGTAAGTACGGTCCCGACTGAACGAGAAACACTAAGTCACAGGGGTGTCAACCTCCTGGGTTTTCAGCATCGGTGCATCGGCTGGAAAAACAGACGTTCATGGGCTAATTAACATTGCATGTGCATGCACGCACGCGCACACACACACACACACACACACACACACACACACACAGCTGACTCCCTGACAGAGGAAGTGGGTCTCTGGCTGATCTGTGCTCCTCTCTCTCTCTCTCTCTCTCTCTCTCTCTCTCTCCATCTCTCCTGCTGCGGCACAGCCTTCAGTCTTCTCCCGTGATTCTCGAGTTCTAGCCTCCTCCAGGCTCTCTTTGAGGGAGGTGTGAAGGCGCACAGCAAACCTCCGTAAGCACCTGTGGTTTTCCCCAGGGCTAAGTCCCAGGCGCCCAGCAGCACGGCCACCACGCCGGCCGGCCGAGCCAGAGGAGGTGAGTTTGGTATTTGAAGAGGTCATTCCCCCACCCCCACCCCCGGGGCTTTTATTTTCCTTTTATTAGCAACTCTAGAACTTTACATCGATTTAATGCTGGTAACAATGATCGTGATCGTTGGGGGTGGGGGATGTCTCCAGAATCTTCCATCTGAGTTTATAAGCGAACCCGTTAATTAACCACAGGCTTCTTGGAAAGAATGTGGATTGGTAAGGATGATTCCAACAGGTTTGCACAGTCCGCTCCACAGAGCTGGTGCTGGTGAGCCAGGCTGAGCTTCGCCGTGAACCTTTGATGGCCCCGTGCTCCAGCGGAAGTGAATGACTTTCACCTGGAAACTTGAATTTTTTTTTTTTGTCGGTCGTGGGGCTTGAACTCTGGGCCTGGGCGCTGTCCCTCAGCTCTTCAGCTCAAGGCGAACACTCTGCACTGGAGCCACAGCACCACTTCCAGTTTTCTGGTGGTTTATTGGAGATAGGAGTCTCCCGGTCTCTCCTGCCCAGGCTGGCTTTGAACCGCGATCCTCAGATCTCAGCCTCCTGAGTAGCTAGGATTACAGGCGTGAGCCACCAGCGCCCGGATGGAAACTTGAATTTTAAACCCAGCACCTCCCCAGCCCCTGAAAACCCAGCGCGCATCGTTGTTCTAGACTCGTCGTTTGTTTCCCACTTGGGAACTGAATACCAGACCAAAATAATAATAAATAATCAAATGAACCAAAAGCCACCGTACCTGGTGAGAATTCTTCCTCTTGTGTCTGAGCCACGCATGTGTCTCTCCCAAAGTGTGCCAGGCGGCCTGGAAGCCAGAGGCCCCTGACCCTTCTTTTGCTTTCTGAACACACACACACACACATTATATATGTACACACTTATTTATTATATGCTTACACTATTTACACATAATGTAGATGATCGTGTCCAGAAACGTTAACACATGCTTGAGAAGAATATCCAAGAAATGTTATTCACTCGTTGGCATTGTGTGTGTGTGCACGCGTGCATATGTGTGCGCGTATGCGTGTGCATGTGTGTGCGTGTGTGCATGTGTGTGCGTGTGCATGCGTGCACGTGTGTGCATGTGTGTGCGTGTGCACGCGCAGGGGCGCAGGGCCGGGCCAGGGAAGCATCTAGAGTATCAGGAAACCCTACGCAGCTGAGGATCCCCAGGAGAATCCTTTACCTAAGGCAGCGAGGGGGGGCGGGGCTCTTCCCGCACAGAGATCAGGGAATCCCCTTTGATCATGGGGGGAGGGGCTCTCCCGCACGGAGTCCCCTTTGATCATGGGGGCTCTCCCGCACGGAGTCCCCTTTGATCATGGGGGGGCTCTCCCGCACGGAGTCCCCTTTGATCATGGGGGGGCTCTCCCGCACGGAGTCCCCTTTGATCATTGCGGATGAAATGCAGTCCCGCTCTTAGAAAGATGGCAGCCTGGGCGGGAGCGCCCGGGTCCTCGGCCCGGGCCTGTGTGTGCCCGCGCGCGCGCGTGTGTGTGCGTGTGTCCCCCCGCCCTTGAATTTCAATCCGCACACCCCCCCGCAGCACAGGCTCCGCGGAGCTCCGGGG